AATTAAAAAAATAATCGTTTTATTTCGATTACGTTCTTTTCGTAATCGTTGCAAGCCATAATTGTAATCACGATTAAAATACGATTAATTGAGCAGCCCTATTAAAGAGCACAGGTTTTGCAGGTCAGTATTTGTGCTCTCACCTGTGAAGGTTTCCTCAGCAGCACTGTGTGCTGCACACACTCCACCATCATAGCCAGCACCTGCAGCAGAGCCAGTCTGTGGCCCCGTCTCGCAGCAGCCCCCAGCACCTGCTGCTCCACCTCCAGGAGAGTCATGGTCGACACCCCCAACTCCTCCTCATCCTCCTCTTCCTCCACTGCAGCTGCACAGCTGGCCAGCCCCTGCAGGAAACACAAGGTTACCTTCTGCACAAGTGGAAAGAACAACTAACTGAAACTAAATCTACACATTTCTAACTCTAACATCAAACTCAAATTTCAAATTAAATCAACAACTAAACAGATTTTAAACTGAGTGTAAAAATAAATAGAAAGTAATGAAAAATGAATAAAATCACATAAAAGCTAACCTAAAAAAAGTGGGGTTTTAAAAGTGATTTAAAAGTCAGTAAAGAGCAAAGACAGAGTTTGCAGCCCTGATCTCCTCAGACATGCAACATACTCTCTACAAAATTAAACAATGTGAGAATGTATTACCCTGGATAAAATGTCTGTACCTGCAGCAGCTCCAGGAAGAAGTCTCCGGGCAGGTCCGAGTCTTTGAGTTCATTCAGCAGCTGCATCAGAACCTCCAGCCTCCACTGCTCTCCGGACAGCTTCTCATACAGAGCATCGTCCTCCTCACTGCCACATGGAGAAGAGGAGAGGTGGAATGCCATAAATAAAGGGTGGCTCTTTAACCAGTGCAGATTGGACCAAGTCACAGTAAATGTAATGTCCCATACTGATTTATGTATCAAAGAAATATACTGTTAAAGCCAAGGCTGTACCTAATGTTTTTTTAAATACATTTACATTTTGCACTTAACAAACATTGGGATCACACCATTTGGAAAACAAACCAATGCATCAGCACTGGAATCTAATTCTAAAAAATAGCATAATGCTTATAATGTTAATGTAGCCTTATCTTTATCTGCAACTGTTCAGAAAGGCCATGTAACCCCTAACAGAAAAAAGCTGCACAGCATTGGAATGCTGTAGAGTCTAAATGCCAAAGATAGCATGAAGCTCCGGAGCGTCTCACTGTGGGGTACAGCCCTGCTTCACCAGAGAGACCCCCACCCCCCCGTCACCTGCAGCGCTCTCTGCAGCTCAGCCTGGCTCCTCCATCACTGCCGGGGGTGAAGAGCAGGTCCGCTGCCCCCCCGCTCCTCTGTCCCTGCAGACCTGAAAGCTGCCTCAGGGCTGACAGAGCTGCAGACGGCTCAGCGTGGCTCAGGTACCTCAGCAGGATCTCCTGACAGGGGGCGCTGTGGACAGCAGAGCACGGCTCATTTTCACATTCAGTTATGCAACCTTAACATTTCTGTTGACCTTTTTCCAAAGTACATATCATTCCTGCCTCGCAGACTTTCTGCCAGCTAGAGGAAAAAGTTAGAGACCTGCACAATGCTTCCAGCTGCCACAATTTCATTTTTAAACATTTGGCAAAAATGAAGATGAGGAAACATTTACAAGATTCATTCATATTTGAAGTCAAAATACTGTCAAAATGCTTAATAAATGAGTAGAGTGCCAGTGTTTCATGGGAACAAAGACAGAGGGTGTTTCTCAATGTCGAGGAAGGCTCCTCCAGAGCCACTATTTCAAGGATGCTACGTCATCGAGTCCCGCCGAAGGATTGTTCCAATGTCCAGGCTCCTTGGAATTCTACCGAGGCCGGCGTCCTTCGTTGCGGGACATTTCGAGGCTGCACATGTGTAGACTCCGTGGGCTTAAAATCCCCACAATGCTTTGCGCACGGACAAATTTCCAAAATCTTTGGCGGAAAATGTAATGCCTCTCAAATGACGCACACCTGCACACTTGCTAGCCTGTTCCGCTCTTCGTTTTCTGAGGCTGGGAGGTATTCTTGCCTCGTTTCTTAAGGAACTCACTCGGAGGTACATGTGCTACCAAGCAAGCCTCCTCAACATTGAGAAACACCCAGAGTCACAGAGCTGCAGCCTACATGTCAGGTCAGACAACTTGTGGTTAGCACTATTAAACAATGAGGACAGCAAGGGACATTTAAAGGTTTATGTGCTCTACATTGTGCTGTGGCTAATGGCTCTCATTCAATTATTGCACAACTAGGGGATGCCATCATGAATCAAATAATACATTAATTAAAAAAAATATAAATATATATATATATAAACTTAACACAAAAAGTAAGGAAATGTGTGTTTGGTAGAGTATTTCTTTGTTGTAACAATGCTTTTTGGCAATACAGGTGAAGGGCAGTCACGGCAGGCTCCTGGCAGCCGCACGAGACCGGAGAGTAGCTGCTGTTTGGCATTGGCAGAGGAGATTTGTCACATTCTTCATGGGCCCAACCGACATACACAGCTCTGCTGATCATCCCACAAATGCACGTTCCTCACAAATGCGGCACCATTGGAAAGGTAACAAAACAGGCTTTCCAACGGTATAAAATGTATTGCCAAGAAGTATTGTGAGAACAAAGAAATAAGCTACTAAACACAAATGTTCTTACTTTTTGTGTTAAGTTTATATATTTATTTTTTAAAGAAACACACGACAGGTGACACAGAGCACATATCAATGCCTAAGCAGAAAAATAATAATAATTTTAGTGGGAATTTGATACACATGTGTTGTGTTCATACTGTACTGAAATGAATTGGAATCCATGTAACAGATGGGAAACCTTACCGGAGGTGGGACACATTCTGCTTGGTGAAACAGAAGAGTGTGAAGACAACAGGAAGAACCTCCTCCAGAGCTGTCAGCAGGGACGCTGACGGACTGTTCCCAACAACCCAGATCTGACAGAGACACAGGAGCAGAGAGCATGAACTCACCACGGGGGGGCTACTATCATCACTGTGACATTCAGGTTCCTGATGGTATTGTTTAGTGCATGCCTTCAGGTGTCCTCACCTTGTACACATCACTCACACACTGGGACAGCTCACACTCCTCCACAGCAGCTTGGGATTGACCCTCATCTGGAAAACAGACATAAGCATCAGTTCAGCTCTTATCATGCATATGCTGTGTGTGAGGCCAACACTACAACATGTATTAGCTGCACATCTTGAGTATACATAAGATACACAGCATGTGAGCTCAAAAGCCTTCAGGTGAAAATATGTGATATCTCTTTTGTTTTTAATTCCATTTCCCAATTAATTATTGCTTGTACTTAATAAATAAAGATGTACAGGTATACTTAAGTTCATTGGGTTAGCCAATACCAACCATATAAACAACACTACTAATTTACTCTCTGAACATAGTATGTGTCATAGTGTCCTTGGGCAAGATACTTAACCCCAAACTGCTCCTGTAGGCGGGCAGTCTACGGTATTCAACTGTATGCAAGTCTCTGTGGATAAAAGTGTAAGCTAAATAATATGTGATGTGATGTACTGGCCATGCTACTGACTGGAGGCGGGGGTGCAGCGGTGGAGGGGTGAGAGCAGAGGAGTGAGCAGGTGCTGGCGGGCCGCGCCGGGCTCCTCCTGCACCAGGAGCAGCAGAGACCTGGTGGCCACTCGCTGGAACTGCTGGGCCGTCAGCTGGTCCTTAAAGTGCAGGAGGTCAAGGATCTATAGACGGAAAAACCAAAGCACCCCTTCAAACAAACAAACAGACAAGTGTACTTGATAATAGCTGTTCTTCACGGCAATACATTCACTGTGTTAACATGCACTGAAGCAGGACGACGGACGAAACACAGGAAGTCTACACACGTCCTAGACCGCTTTCACAATCATCTCCACATGCAGCAAAGCTTTTGCGGCCTTCAAGTAACGCCCATTTTTGCCTTTTAATAGTCAGTGAAGCACTGCATGAAGACGATCACAGGAAACCCTCCAGCAGCGACTCCATCAACCAGTTAAAAGAAATAAAACAAATGTGTTGTGTGACATCAGCAGTACAATTTAACAAAAAAAAGGCTGTCATTTGGTTTCCATACCCCTTGTGTTTTAACAATGCGAAGCATCAAGTCTTGGTGAACAGCATAATGATAATGAACTTTATTTGTAAAGGGCCGCTCCAAGAAATATTTAGATTTATGTTTCTCTCTTTTCATGCTTCTGGCTGTCGCAGTCTCTTGTCTCTCCCGTTCTTTTGTGCCTACGCATGGGTACAAATGTCTGGTGAGGTCCGCACATTTTCCTGTCAAGTTTGCTTTTTATAAAATCGGAAACATTGCTTGAAAATTGCCGTAACCCATCTTTTGAGCGTGCGCCAGGTTTATAAATGAGGCCCCAGAACAGTGGTTATAAACTGTAAAAATGCGTTTAGAGAGTAAGAACAACTTTGCAAATGTAATGTAAAAACAATCATAGTCTCGCTTAGATTGACCTGAGGACAGACGTGTGTGAAGTAGCTGTCTGCTGAGGCACACTGCTGGGGGGGGGTCACCAGGATCCAGGCCACAGCTTCACATTTCCTCCAGTCGGACTCGCCCCCTGCAGGACACAAACAGTGTTCTATCAGTCAGCAGGGGAAACATCATGTCTATTCTATAGGAAGTTTCAAAAGGAAAACTACTCAAACACGGATGTTTTGCGTTAGTGCTGTTATTGTTCAGGTTGACTGGTTTAAATACACTACATTAGGGGGGGGCTATTTATTTCTCTACTTGATTCTTTCAGACTTTTGCTCCTCACCCATTCCTCCCTCCAAGATAGCTCTGACTACAGCCTGGACCCCTTTAGGCTGCATCAGGCGCTCAGACAGCAGCCAACCACACAGACACCTCAGCCAGGCCGGAGCTGATCTCAGAGCTGACCCAGGAGCTGATCCAGGAGCTGACCCAGGAGCTGATCCAGGAGCTGATCCAGGAGCTGACCCCCTGGCAGATCCTCTGCAGCTTCCCACTGCAGCAGACTATAGAAGGGACATTACATATAAAACACAGCCTCACAGGCCTTTGTATATATGTATATACTGTATAGGGCACTCTAAAAATCTTCCATGGGGTGGGGGGGTGGGGCACAACACAATATAATCATTTCAACTATTTATTTACTGTGTAAATGACCGCTATGTTGTATGCATGGTTAGGGGCTGGCGTAGGTATGGGTGTGACGCTGCGAACCCCGGAATCATAACAACTCTTGTTTAAACTGTTGCCGTAATCGGTGTCGCAAAAGTATCGAGCGACAGGGTCTAGTTTGTGCAACGGGATTGATTGATGTCGCACATTTTTGCACCCTCGGTGAGTTGAGCGAGGTATGTGACACTACAGAGACTTTGTTACACGTCTTTATTTGATCCGTGATTTAATACATTTGTGGTTTATCTGAATGCTTTGTACTTGTTGCGATGTTTTGTAATGACAATTAAGTACCTATGTTTGTGTTTATTTTTAGTTTTCACGATGCTTGAGAGAGTATTAAAGGAACTACATCCCTAGAGACTCTGCTGTGTTTATTACCGAGGGCAGCTACATACTGTTAAAACACATCAACCACTTATTCCAGCACAGTCTCCCACAAACCCTCCTCCCCCGCCCCACCAAACATAGACATGCCCACCTGTTTGGGTCCACCCTGGAGGATCAGCAGCTCCGTGATAACGATTGGCTGGTAGATTTTTCTTAGAAGCTTTTTGAGGGCCTCCTTGCAAGTTTTACATTCCTCAGGACTGAGGTCCTGCATCTAAAGTTTGCAATAAATACAAAATAGAAGATGCCCTTTATCTCTCTAGCCTATACACATCAAAATAACTGTCCATTGTATCCAGATGTGTTACCTTCTCCTCTCGCCGGGGCTGGTAGCCCAGCTGGCACAGAGCAGCCATCACGTCCCCCAGATGGCGAGTGAACACCAACGTGGCGAGACAGGATAGCTCTGCCAGCTGCAGGAGAACCTTCATGGTGGTCAGAAGGCGGCGCCCAGCGGCTGGCACCGGAACAGCATGAAAAACTTTTTCCACCATGGCTCCAAACGCTGACCTGCGACCCAGTGGCACGCCCACTCCAGGGGCCAAGTATGGGCAGAGTCCCAAGGAAACCACAAATTGAAAAGCTGCTCCAAGCGTCTTCTGCTGGGTGACACTGAGGACATCAGGAGGTAAAGCTGGAGCCATTTCAGGGGTGCGGAGTTTAGATGCAGATGGACGAGGGGTCTCCCTGAACCGTTCCAGTTCAGCAGACAGGTGTCGTCCTAAGGTGAGCAGCAGGAGGAGACACTCCTGGACAAAGCCCCAGGGGACATCTTCTGTATCGCTGGAGAACCAGTCTGACCCAGCCCTCACCTCCTCCCTCAGCCTCCTCACCCCCTCAAAGCTGCTCTCAGTCTGCAGCTGCTCCCAGAGAATGGCTCTGTTGGCCTGCAGGGCCCCCAGGAGGGCCTCCTGCTGTGAGGATGGAGCATCATGCAAGGACGACTCTATATACACACACACACACACACACACACACACACACACACACACACACACACACACACACACACACACACACACACACACACACACACACTTTAAATGTAATGTATTTATTTCTGGACTGGCAATTCATTTGTATGATTGCAATATATTAATAATCCATTAAGAGTCAAAGCTCCGGGGACTGAGGCTAATTTCTATGGTTGTAGTGTGGCTGACAGTTAAACACAGGGGACGTTATGCTTCTGCTACAGACCATAATGCACGCAACATAAGTTCTGTCCCATACCATGCTTTACTTTCTGCTGTTAAACACTTACCAGCGACGGGTTTGGTGAGGACAGAGATCGCTGAGAGGATAGCAGAAGTCATCTCTGCACCACACCAACAACCACACTGTACACGTGCACACACACGAGTCACCTGTTCCGGATCTGACGTCTTGCAATGTCCTCATCCATGTGAAACCTCCGACTTTAATGTGCTGCTGCTAAAAGCATTATAACCCTCAGAAACCTATTTCTTCATCCATGCCATGGAGTTCCATGATGTATTGTATGCAACTCGCTCGGTGTGAGTCTTAATGGCGCTGAAATTATACGTCAGAAGTATCGTCCCATAAATATTACGTCATACATAGAAGAGCGACCAGAGCAGAGGGCATGGAGCGTACAACCGTTCTCCACGGTGGCCACTATGGAAAGCGGAAAGTGCCACTATTCACCTGTTTATTTCGCCCGGTTTTCACTAAAAACAAGCGTTTTTCGCCCGGTTTTTAACACCCGAAAACCGCGCGAATATTAATATGATAATGAGCCCCTCCTTCTGATTTCCATAGCCACTACGTTTAAAGTGCCTGGAACCAATCAGTGAAGAGTAAAGCCAGACCAAAGCAATCTGTAGATGAAAGGTTCCAGACGTATATATATATATATATATAAGGTGTATATATACAGGGCCGTTTCTAGCTTTTTGGGGGCCCTATGCAAGATGCTGTTTGGGGGCCCTAGTTTTGACAATTTTTTTTAACTACAATGGGGGGGATTCCGAAGCCTTTAAGATGATCTGTGGAGATGCATCAATCTGTTACACTTTAATAGGAAAACAGGCTAATTTCACGAAAACCAAGTAATTGAAAATTACAAAAAATGATATTAAAAAGGTAAACAATAAGGCTCCTCTATGTCAACAAATGCAAGAGATGCAGCATTTTCTCAACAATGTTCAGCCCAACGATGATTTGAACTTTATTACCTCTAAAACCCAAGCCACAGCTTTGCTATCATTGCAGTTTAGTCGTGTTTATATCCTACATTGGATTTGTAAGCATATAATGCTTCACCGAACACACAGTGGCGACTGGTCATTAGGCACAGCCCCACCTAGTGTCAGCAGAAA